AAACAGTTTATTCTCTAATATTGATGTTAACTATTCTTCTTTTAATTTTTCCTCAATTTACAATATTGTGACACGTCAGTCGGATATCAAAGCTTCAGTAATTCGCACGACGAGTAAAGGATGACTAACATAAAGGGTGTTGCCGGAATAGCAATGGTCTATGTCACCGTAGCCGTAGTTGCAGGTTTCATGGAAGATGTTGGGAGTCGCCCTCTGATCACGAGACACAAGTGCACCTCTATCGTTCGTTACTCTTTACACCTGTGCTCACACATAACGCCCGGTATTCCGAGTGTGCGTGCACCATGACGTATTGTGAAACTCTTGTCCGTAAGCTGAGTGTGCTGTGTGCATAACGTAAAAAAAATTCGACCGAAATAGTCGCAGCTGGGCGACGCACGATTGCGGCTCACGACCTTTTTCAAAGCCGCCGCAAAGATTTCTACTGCATGCTGAAATAAGGGACAAGGCCACGATCACAACATGTGCTAAATAATGATATCATTCGCTCTGCAATATACGGTGTCAAGCTGAAGCAAACAAGAAGGACGAAACATTTAATTTTATCAGTCGAAGTTATTTTTGTTACCGCGGTGGTAGAAATAAAAAATTCTACATTTATATTTTGTGCCTCTTGAAATACACGTAAGAAGATTTCTTAGTGTAAGAAGATTCGAGTTATTTAAATAGTTTTTTGTATTGTTATATTGTATTATTAACAGAAAGTTTTTCATTTTACGAAGAAAATAAACTGGCAGGAAAAAATGCTGTACTTAAATCTATGTTCTTTATCTATCGTATTTCTTTTATTATATTTACTACGTTTCTTGTGCTAATGATACATAATATTATAATAAAATTATAAACGCTATTTTTAATTTTTAAATTACCAGCCATTTTTTTAATTTTCTTAAATTTCTTCTAAATCAGAATTTAGATTTTTTCAGGTTTGATATGACTAGTACGTTCATTAAACGTAAAAAATCTTTATAACAAATTTCCTATATTTAATATCGTGTTTAGTTTTCAAATCGGAAAGTATGGGAAGACGTAGGAGAGCAAAGGCAGATGTTGGATTTCTTTCATCATTTTCGTCGCACGCCCTTAAACGCGGAAAGTAAATCCATGTATTGCAGCTGCTTGAAGGGCGCACATCATTGAGAACTTTAGCTCCGTTAGATGCTACAACCTACATTTTGTTTAATTAAAGTTTCAGCCGTGCAATTTGATTAAAGTTATAATTATATAATAAAAATAATAAAAATTGCGTAATAAAAATGTAATCCTGTTTTAAATACGACAGTTTTGAATTACACAGAGTAGTATTAAATAATCTTGACTAAATTAGTAGCTTTTTAATCCTTTTTCAATAATATGTTTAATTACTCGTTTCAATCAGATTATTATTTAATGAGTTGCTTTACGTTTTCCGTTATTTCATCGAAATATACAAATTCTATCTCGTTGAGTGAGATTTAAATTCCTATAAATTATTGCTTTATACCTTTCATTATAATTTACATAACAAAAAAGTTTTATCAAAATACAGTCAATTATTTCGACAAATTTTCAGTAGCAGGAAATGACATAGTTTTTCAATACTTTTCATGTTTTCATATGCTAAAGGAAAACAGATTTTGCTCGACGAGAAAGCTCTCTCGTCTGAAAGATGTGTCAGACTCCGTGGTAAACTTCTCTTGGTCTCAGCAGATGTACGAGCATTTGCCTCGGCAGCTGCTTCTCTCACTACCGTAAACTTCTGATATCCATCCCGGCTTTTCGTTTTGGGTTGACCTGAACTCTTTATCGTCTCGGCAACGTCATCTAACGTCTACAAAATCGTAACGGCGATCTTTAGATTGTCAGCGTCGATGTAAATTTCTCTGATACAACTCAGAAATCGAGCCCGAGTCATCCTCTCAAACGATGCGTAATCATGTGAAAAACCGGTTTTGCTTCGTCGATTTAACTGCAAGCGGAAGCCGATGATCGGGGTACTATAAAGTCTAACTATATCCCTGAGACTCTCGCAAGGTAGGGAGAAGGAAGCAACTTGGGTCTGACTTGGGGCCAAGGCATTCACGTTAGAGGAAAGAGGAGGGATTTTTATTCGGTTGATTTCAAGTGAGAGGGCTGTCTTTTCTATATACACGTTTCTGAAATTGTAAATAAAATATATCTAATGTATATTTGTATAATCGGAAAAAATATTTATTTAACTAAAGAAGTATTATAGAATTTTTTAAATTAAATTTAATTTTGATTGTAAAATTCAATTTTAAATTTTATTAGTTTTTTATTATACAATTCAAGAAATAAAAAGTATATCTATACACAGCCTGTATAACGAAAAATTAATAAACATTAAAATTGAATATATGTACGTTAATATTAAAATTATATATGTATATATATATGGATTATACATACATATATGTAATTTTTACAAAATTAATTATCGGTTGAAAAATGAAGAACTTTATCATTTGGAAAAATATATATTTATGGATAAAGGATTTTAAAAGCGTATAAAACATTTATCAAGAAAAATTCGCAACAAAAACTTAATCTTATGTATAAAAATGTATAAATTAAAAAATAAAATATATTTTATAAATTTTATCATATAATCATCTCGCATGCAAGAGTACTTAATTTAGAAAATATAAAGGAGATAAACACTACAAGAAAATATCTTTAAAGGAAGGGCCTGGAAGATCTAGATCTGTCCCTGACAAACAGCAAAGTGGGATAGAGCGACCTGGGTCTGTTGGTCCCTCGGCATTCACGTCTAGAGTCTCTTAGGGGGGGTTGTCGTATATCCGCTGGTCAGACTTGTTTAACCCGAGAGTGTACCTTGAACTCTTCTCATCGATACCGTTCGGTGAAAGTTGCTACAATGTTGCGTTGCGTCGTTTTGTACGGCAAAAGTGAGACAGCGCGGCGGTATACCCTTTTTAAATTTGAATTTTATTGATAAGTGTTTATCACGCTTCGCGTCCTCCATGAAATTGTTATATTGTTGAATCATCTACCTGTGTTACCTGTGAATCTAGATGGCGCGTTCATCAGATCGTGAAAACGTTAAGCTTGCATTCGAAAGCCGTGGCACCGCCCGTTGGATTACATGAAAAATTGTTTTTCTACTCCAATTATTTGAACAGTTTTTGAAACGTGAATATTTTTGTTAACTTTTTAATCATTTCCTCGTCAACATAAGCTGAAGAACTTCATCGTGCTGTGCGATCGTGCGTTTTTATTCGCTTGATTGCATAAATCTTGCTGGAGTAGAAATAAGTGATAGATGATTTTTCCGAGAGTGGTCTACAAGAGTGTCAAACTCCTGGACGCTTCAACTGGATTCTCCACGCGAGAGATTAAACGTACTTTTGAGTTCCGGTGGGGTCGCCGGAAGTAGCTGAGCGTGACGGTGCTAACGGAAAAACGTGGGAACTTGTGTCGCGTAGCTGCGCTTCGTCGCTGCTCCATTAGTTGACGCACGCTAAACGATCTCGAGGATAATTGCATTATAGTCTTTGCGACAAATGTTTTTATCTGTCGCGAGACAATTTTTATTTTACACTGATATTGTGTGCCAATCTCTCGCATTAGCGATAAAGAAGGATAATTACATCAAAGAAAACATACAAAACAGATTTCAAAAAGGCAATAACGTCTGAAAAGATCAACTTGTTTATGCTTCTCCAGTGTCTGATGCATTAATTGCCTCGTCGGAAATTATATTACACTTAACGGCTGATTAGATGGGAAAATATTGCACCGACTAAATTACGGAAATTCACATGAGAACTAGTTTGTAAAATACACCGAAGTCTTTTCGGCCGTGATTAATTGGTGCATTAAGGCAGTATGTGAAGTTAGTTTAATTGATTATACGTAATATCCTTGAGTGGGAAGTGCTCTGAGAGAAAAAGTCCATCTATAGAACGTACAAATGTCAGATTTAAAAGTTAAATGGAGCTGGTTCTAGTCTCATATCTTGTAGTATCTAATATCCCTGTCCGTCCGACGTTTACATAATTGAATTATTTATAATTCGTAAAATTTGCATTGAAAATATTCTTGATGACGAAGCTGTCATATTTTCTGAGGAAGCGACGTTTGCTGTCAAAAAAAAAAGAATAAACTCGGCTAGAGAGCGAGAAAAATACGATTGGAATTTGCGGTGCTCTTTGTAGCAACGTATTGAGGACACAGACAGTCATCGTTTAAAAATAACAGAAAGAGCTCGTAAGACATCACGTAAGACAGAGTGCCGATTGCATTGTGCAGCAGAATACTTAGTTCTACACTGTTATCCATGAGGTGTTCGCAACATCTGTGACCAGCAGGTCCAAGGTAGAGAGAGTGAACTACTCGGAGAGAGGAGAGACTTAGCCGCGAGACCAGAAACGGAGAGAGAGACTGATCAGAATCCCACTCTTCTAGGTGGAATCTCTGACGTCAGCCTGGAGCAAGTCGTATGACCAGTTCGGGACGGTCACTGGTAAAAAGTGACCAAGAAAAAGAAGAAAAGGAGGAAGAGTAGGAGAAAGAGGAGAAGGCAACAGTCTCCTCTCTCACGTCTATCTGGCTACGTTTTTACCGGCCGGCTCTCGGGAGCATCTTGCGCCGCCATGTCCTCCACGCATCGCGACATCCATCACCAGTAGTAGCGTTTGCCCCTACCTCTCGTTTTCTCTTTCTCGCTCTCTCCTTCTGCCTTTTCGCGGCATCCATTCAGTGGCCGTTGTGCCGGACTAAAATTACCCTGGTCGGTTACGATCAACGCGTGAGCGAAGTGCTAGCTCCAGCGTGGAGCGTTTCGGAGCTGATCGCGACTTGTGAGGCGTGTAATACCTGATGCATGAACGGTCGTGATATATCAAGTGTGTGAAACTGTGAATGGATGTTGCGTGAGACCGAGCCAATTTCGATTTCGTGATATAATAGTGCTTGCACTGAGTGGCTACGCTGATACCTTTGATATAATTTTTGGTGGGAAGTTTACTGAATGTTATCGAAAGGATTCATTAATAATATAAGAATTTAGAGTCTACATCGTAATAAAGTGGTGAAGGATTGGCTGGTGTTGATGAATTGAAACGGATTCACGTAGTGTTTCTAGATCTGTCAAAATTTGAATGAGGTGCTTGCATATGAGGTGTTTAAAAAGAAACTCCAGTAAGTGTGAAGTTCTCTCTCTCTCTCTCTCTCTCTCATATTGTACAAGAGATAAGTGCGCTGCATAAAGGCCACACCTGTGTCACTGAGCGTGGATGTCATTAGACGTCAGTGACATCGCGTATGGTGCATCAAAGGATACGTGGAACTGCCAACGATCTGTTGTACTTGGATATTTGACGCGAGTGGTATTGCTCGTTGTGAAAACATCGCCGTCCAAGAGAAATGGGAAACCACCCGTCCGCCCACCAGCCACTCGAGAGGGCTACCAGTCATGCTGGAAATGGTCTTCGCCTCTCGGTACGTCGCGGTGTTGTTTTTATATCAAATGTAACGTTTACGATTATTTGCGTGTGCTATTCTGTCACATCTGATATGAGACGAAACTGTCACTCGCATATAGTACACGTGTGACAGTTGTAATCATACGGTATTGTTCAGGGCATTTAGCTTCAACAGCATATCAATGGTAGTACCTACCCATTGACAGGATTTTTTTTAGCGTTAGCATTTATTTTCTGAAAACTTATAAGTATGGAATTATTAAAAATTAAATATTAAACAAAGTGCGAAAATAAATGAAAAATTTTAATCTTTAATTTAGTTAAAGCAGAATGCGTTTTAATATATATTTTATTTCACAATTCGATTTATTAAAATAATTTAATCACAAAAGCTCAAAAGAATAATTTTGTAAGAATTTTGGTAAGAATCATTTTTGATCACATTTTTTGTACTTTCTAAAACTTTTGCTTATATACTTATAATTGTATTACGATGTAACGATATTCATACAAAATTCATACAAGTATTAGCATAAATCGCATATCATGGCGTGACCATCAACATTTTCCTCTTAAACGTTTTGCGAAACGTTCTGTACACGAAAGGATGGTTTATTCCACGCTTCATAAAATCCGAGATTTGCAGCCGTCGGAAATGACGGTTTGCCCTTCTTACTTCCATTTTTCACCCTCGGTCACACCCCTTATACATTCTTATTTCTCATTTCGTTCTCTCGCAATTTTCTATATACAGTGACTTATATATTTCACATATTTCTAGATATTAAAAGTGTGTTATTTTTGTTTTTTTTTTATTCTGAATTTTATTATTTTATTGCGTGTGCATTCATATCTGAAGTATAAAAGTAAAAAAAACAACAGACATTCTTCATATCGAGAAATATGTAAACAAATATATAAGTACTATAATTTATCTTCGATGTTTATCGATACTGTGATGAAGAGTTATGTTATAATCTAATAGAACTTTGACATACTATATACTTTATCGTGAGTAAGTTTGTTATCAAACGTGGAAACAAAATGGATGGATAAATTTAAAATACTTTTTCTTTTTATTTTGCATAATAGTAAAATTGTATTATTTTTGTACAAATTAGTTTTCTAAATAGGGATAATTTTTTTTATAATTAAGAATAAAATGGATATAACTTGTTCAGTAGATGAACTTTTATAAACCTGCTAAAAAATTTATGCGACTGAATGAAAATGAAATAAAATCTACATATATACATTTGCATTCCTAAAATCGCTGACTGTACACCTCTGGTATTTCTGTAACGAGGAACTTCATTAACATGGACGCATGACGTCAATCACATTGGTCACAGCATGACTAATATATTATTTGCATTGCGCTGGACTTTTGGTGTCATCACGAACATTATAGACGTGAGAATTCAATTTTCGTGACAATCAAGTTTTCCCAAGTATTTGGAAATCTTTGCGCGCGATATAAAACCTTGGTATTCATCGCACTGAAATTATCAATGCGCGTCATGCGAATTATGTAAGCTTACTACTGCATTTGTGAATCCCCATTTCATAGATGGAATGACGTATTTCATGCGTGACGGTTTCAACAGTGAAAATGACGATACAATGAGGTGCGGTTGGCGCTCGCGTTTCAATGACCTTTGCTCGCGCAAGCACGTGTCCGAATCAGTCTTTCATCCATTGGATACCGTAAACGCAACATTCAATTTATAATTGCGAAAAGCTGCATCTGTACCGTACTGAATATTATATAAACATTGAAAATTAATTTCGAAATATCAAAATAATTTATTACAAATATTATGAATAACTACATTTTCATGAAATTAAATTTGGGAAGCAAACTTAATAAAATTTTACAAATTTACGATTTAATAGGACTTAATTTTTTGAAATAGATTTATAATAAAGTTAACAATTTTTATTAACATTTTTAATCAATTCTTTTATATTTCATTTTTATGTACTGTCTGCACTCTTTAGTCCAATTTTTATTTTTTGTATTAATAAATACGCTGTTTTGCAACAAATACTTATTTATGTTTACAAATTATGTATGCTTTAAGAAGCAGACAGATGGCATATTTATATATTAATTAAATATGCTTTTATAAAATAAAGTAATAACGACAAGGAAAAAGGTAGTAAACAAGTTTAGGAAAAGATAAAAAAAGGAAAGTCAGTAAACTAGTTTGCTATATTTATTCTTGCTGTTATTATTTTATTTTAAATTTTATAAAAAAAACATATTTAATTAATATATAAATATGCAATTTGTCTCTTATTTGAAACACATATACAATTTATAAGGATATATAAGTGCTTTTTTTTAAACATATTAATATAATTACTGTTTTGGAAACTTTATTAAATGTAATTTTAATAAATTTAATATGTGCACGTAATATTTTATTATACGCATAATGAAATGACTTGTAAAATGCCTATTAATTAATTCTATGACAATTTTATTAAAATCGACAAAAAAGTTTTATATAAATCGTATCTTATTTTCAACATGCCAAACTAATAATTTATTTGTGAAACATAAATGCATTTTATGAAATTAAAGAGAGAATATTATACTCTCTTGTTGCTTTGACATGACAGCTTTGCGATATGATACAACGCGTAAAGTAAAAAAAATTTATTTTCATACAGAAGAAAACCGGTAAAATTTCTCTTGAAAAAAATCATAGATTTATTTTTTTAAAGCAAATGTGTTTATTACAGAATAAACAAACAAATATTATATTTTCGAAGTGAATTTGATGAAACGCTCATTTTCTTTGATGAAAAAGCTTTTGCCTCTTTTGCTGCTTCGTTGATATTTAATTCCTAGAAAGCAGGAATCCCTAGAAAGTGGAATAGTTTAAAGCTTGGGAGAGTGGTCATAGAAAATGGCTGGATGCTGCATTTCCTCGAATTCATCGTGCGGTATAATTACATGATGTTTGTTACGCGTTTTAATTAGTGGAATTAGTATTAGATTACGTCGAGATTGCGAAAATTTCGTTTCTGTCGAGTGGATTTGCAATATTTAATTTAGTCGCGACATCGAATAACTCGTCTTCATTTTCGTTCTTTTACACTTATTCAACACCTTCATGCACAAGCAATTTAATATTCGCGGTATAAGTTGATATCTTGAAATCAGCAATATTCTCGTGGCGTAACAGAAAAAAATACTGTGAACAATTGAACTACGAAGTCCGTGCAATCACGTAACAATTCTGCATATACAAATAATATTTATTCATTTATTATACACATAATGAAATAGACTTAAAACGTTTATTCATTAATTCTATGGTTATTACATTAAAATCGATAAAGGACTTTTAGAATGACAAAGAATGATATTAAATATTAAGAGAATAATAACAATCCTGGAAATTGAAAGTGCTGTAAAAACGCTTTAATATGTTTTTTTTTCTATAAAATTAATGCCATCTGCAAGCTACATTAAATTAGATGAAATTATTTGACTAATTACAAAAACACAGAATATTAATCTCTTAAAACTAAATTCTTTGAAATGGAATTTTACTTTGAAGAATGAAAATTGAGCCAGTCTTGAAAAAACGGGTTTAATTTCTAATCTTTAAGAATAAGATTTCACTCTTCAGAGTGCAGAGATTTATTCTAAAGAGTTTTAAAGAGTATTTAGCCAGCAAGATTGAACATTTGAAGAAATGTAGTTACACATACACACACAGTACTTCAAGTTAATTTATTTCAAGGAAGAGGACAGTAGCACGCAAATTACAAAGAGCCTAGACCGATCGGCCAGCGTATCGCGGTTACATTCAAATCGCGTTTTACGCACGGTCAACACATATAAATCTAATCGTACGAATGAATCCACACTCGCATGCGTGTACATACGCCCGCGGTCACGCACACTCACGGACCAATCGAATCGAGGGGATCGAACTCAAGGATAACTGGTGCTGCATGCGGCGCTGCTTCTCAACGATAAAGCGAAAGAGATCCAGGAGTTTGCTAAGCTGTTCAAAACTACTGCCGATTATTTGTGCATAAATGATCTTTTCTTCTATAATTAGACACTGCATTCTACAATAAAATACGATTTTTATTTCTAAAAAATTTAAAAGAAAAGAATTTACTACATAATTTCTTTCTGTTCATAATATTCAGCATTTGTAATCTATTTTGTTCATCGAACGTTTGGGAAAAAAAAATATAAAATTTATTTTTTATTTTCAAAATTTTTGTATAGTTTTTTAGTTCAGTGGAGAAATAGGGGAAGCGAGAGAGAGAGAGAGAGAGGGAGAGGGGGGGGGGAGAAGGAGAGAGAAGTTTGTAGTATAATAGATATGGAAACGTTCTTAATATATTTTTAAAATATATCTATTATATTTAATAGACATTACACATGTAAAAAAATTTTTTGCAAAAATTTCTCATCTTTTATTTTTATTTTTTTCAGTGTCAATAAAATGCGTTCACTTATTCTCTTTCTCAATCTTTTAACATGCTAATCGATCTGCAGCACATATAACATTTAATTATGCTTTGATTCAAAGGAAATCGATTGCGCAGGTTGAAAACCACACATTGCATTCCTACACTTGGTATTTCCATGTTGGACGGCCAGGACGGCGACACAACACGCTACATTGCCTCGCGTGAAAGCCCACTCGTTGCACTTTTCTGCGTATGCGCGTATCCGCTGTTGTATGCGTAGACACCTGCCGCGGTGAAAGGACTCAAAGTAGATTTATACGAGATGCGTAAACTAGGCGTATCCATCGTCTGGTATTCCAAACGCATGTTATTTTTTTGTACTCTTCGTTGAACGTTCGACTACTCTTTCTCGTTATGACAACATTATCTAGTATCTTTACGTGAACCCCTTTCTATGCGCAATCTTTTCTATAAGTTTCCTCTTTTTTGACGTTATTTAATATGAGATATGGCTCCCTCGTGCGAGAGCTTTGTAATCCTGACTCCTGCTATTCATCACGTCGAACA